GGTGCAAGACCAAGACCAAAACGAAGGTTTGCTGTTGCAAAACCAAGATCAAGACTGACTCGGTCACGCCTTGCATTTGGGTAACACTACTGTTGGTCCCCCAAGTGGGACCAACAATGGGGTCGGAAGAAACACCAGAACCCATATGTAATATCAGCTTATCTTGTGCCAAAATACGTACTACTTAGCTGTAGGGAATAAGACGAAGTTCCATTGGAAGAACAGAAGTGCGATGCGTCGTACTCATGGAAAGGAACACTTTAACATGCGTGACAGAACTTCATATGGATCAATTTTTACTGAATAAACACCTCTTTATCCTGTTATCAAATGAGGCACTGATCTGCAGGTTGGGAGGTAAAGATGATGAAACCGCCTACCACATAATGTACATTTGGTGTTTTAGCTGGGATCCTATATTTGTATTATTTATGCAGTGACTGTATTATTGATCCCAAGATCAGCGAATTAATTAATCTCAGTAGGACGTGTAAGTCCACAAAGGTCATTGGCCTTTTTAAATCTAGTATAGGACGGCGCAAAATATAACCCAATAATGTCGCAGTATATTAAACTCCAAATAAAAACAATTAAATGTGTGCTTTAGACCACATGGTAGAAGTGAAAACATTAACAAGGCGAGATTAATAATATGAAATATAATTTATAAATAATACCTCATTATAAAGAGGATGAAATGCTGAACATTTCCCTCACTTAAAGAATGCAAGTCCAATTTTTAGTTTCTGGAATATTTTAATCTATATCTCCAATAAAACACACTATATATACACCCATCATAGAGAGGATGAAATGATGAAAATTTCCCATGCTTATAATATATTTGTCCGATTTTTAGTTTTTGAATTATTTTAATATATATGCATTTCAATTGATCGACTCTAGCCGACTTTAGCCGATCGTTAAACATCGGAAATCTGACGGCTCAATCTAATTCACACTACACAAAAATAAAAGCGCAAAAGACGCCTAAAGAAGTTTTTACTTCAATTTTATTTATTTTCAATATTTTTGTAATCGTAGCTCTCAATCGGTGTTATATTTAGAATTCTAAATTTTCTTATTATTTTATCAACACTAAATATATTTTATAACCTTATATCAACGACTAAATCTCCAGATAAGACAATAAATCTGGATTGCTATTTCAGGTTCGACAGACTCGCCCAAGAACACCATTGCCTGAGGATAAAGCTGCTGGGGGACTGCTATTATTGCGTGTCCGGGCTGCCCGAACCGAGGCCCGATCACGCTCATTGCTGTGTCGAAATGGCACTGGATATGATAGACGCTATAGCGTAAGTATTATTATTATTACAAGTAATTAGTCATAGCATAATAAATTTTGAAGAGAAGAATGGTTGGGGTGATAGGTTCAAAAAAAGTAAAAATAAATAAGTATATTTTACCTTTTTAACCTACTTTATTTTACTTTAAGTTTATCCTACCTACATTTTTCAGACTTTACATTTCTCCTACGTATTAATTTTTTATTATTTAATGTTTATAGTTTCTCATGCCTATTCTCTTTTCTTTTTTTTTTTTTTTGAGTCCTGATGAAGGCCTGAACTTTGGGCCGAAACGTCGGCAAAAATAAATATACTTATTTATTTTAACATTTTTTTTTACTGATCACCCCTCAATCACAACTGGTCAACCATCAATCCACAATTAATGATCTATTTTATCCTACTTACCATTTAAAATAGGAGCATCTTCAAAAGATTATTGTTTTTTGAAGGGGTGTTAAGAATTGGTACAGAAAAGTACCTAATAACTATTGTATGACTCATATATTAATTCATATATTAATTTTATATTACTTTTATATAAAAAAATTAAATGAACATTTTTTTATTATAAATCTAAGCCAAAAATATTTCAAGAAGATTAATAAGAAAATTATAAATAGCAATACAGGCTAATAATTGAAAATCCCTAATTTATAATAGATAGTAATTAAAGATCCTTTCGCCAAAATCTGTCCTACTGTTCTATGAAGTTCTAATTATGGCTTCCTATTGAGTCTGTTCTACTCTTAGTTCGATTTAGTGTATGGGGCTCATTCAGAGGCGATTCCAAGGACAGTTTTTAGGCAGGAAATTTTCGGGATCGCCATATAATAGGAAAAAAAGATTACCTTATTATGAGGAAGATGCTTTAACTAAAAGATTATCTAACGATTTCGTATCTCGAATGATTTAAAATCGATTATCTTATAATTACCGTCTATAATTAATTGATTTCATTGATGCGAGACAATATTTTTTATTTTCCTCTACCAAATGAATGATCAATTATTCACGAGTAGTGGTACTAATTAGTAGATATATTTCCAACTGCGTTATTTTAATGATGTATAACTTAATGAATATTGTATAACCGTTACACATAAATAACGAAGCAGATATTAATAATTAATGGATAACATTATCACTTTCTGGTATCAGTCAGAATTTTCAAAATACACATCATTATTAATATTTCCATTTCCAAACGTTATTCCTTATTAAACTTTCAACGAAATAAGTAAGGGTAGATAAAGCTTCTACTTTTAAACTTTTTGAGATACAATAATAAAGTATTGAATTGATGTAAATTAGGTGGGTTCTAGAAAATTTATAAACAGCTCATTTCTGAATAATTTCAAAGTTTAGTTTACTTTTTCAACAAATAACAGTACATTAAACCATCTTCGGGATAAGTGCCTCCATCTGGAATCCGGTGTAGCGAATCATTACCCTAAATAAATTAGAAATTAAAATGAACTTTCCAATACAGGAGGTAAATTAGATGTATTGAAATGATATGAGGGGGTTTGAATAAGAATAGTGTTATGTTACGGAGTTCAGTTGCGTTTTCAACAATTCTGACTCAAGTTAAAAAATATTACATAAAAGGACTAAACTGTTCAAAGAAAAAGTAAACTAAGTCTTAATAGTTTGCCGATTTTTTTTTTTTCAATTTATCAAACTCACAAATGGAACATAACATAGTTGGGGAACTGCTGTCTTGGAGAGCGCAAGTTAAATAGCTATAGTCATTATTACTATTATTCATTTATTTATTATTACTAATATTGTTAATTCCTTTGTCTCAAAGAGTTATTGCTTAAGTTAGTGCCCTAAAGGGTTAGAATTTACCTGCTTTAACCATTGATAGATTTATGCTGTCATTCTCCAGGAGATGTTGTCAGTCCTCCTACAATCTATAGCTACAACATTATTGCCCTTAGTGTCCCATAAAAGATACCTTCTTTTATGTATTGAGCCTCATTTGTCCCAGAAGTTAACACATGCTGGAGCATTGTAACTTTTAACAAGAAACCAACTTTCCCATGGGAATAATTAAATAATAGCCATCCCCTCCTTTATCATTCCCTATATATTGAGTTCCAAAATATCCTACAGACAATTCCAAGTTTAGAAGTCAGACATGCAACATTAGTTTAGGCCTCACAAGGCTAGTTTGTAAGAAGTATAAATAATCTTATGTCTATGTAACTTTATATTTTACAATAAAAGTAAATTTCAAAGCCTTTACTGTTGTAAGAGTTCGTTAATTCGCATTTGGCCTCTGTGACGTAGCTCCCGCCATCAAGGTGACATGCGGCCTACAAACGTGTTTTAGCCATATTTATTAACCTAGTGTTAGAATTAATTAATATTTACTTATTTAATTAACAAAAATTTAGAAATTAAGAGAATTAAGTTGAATGTATGTATGTGTGTGTGTGTGGGTATTTAGTGATAAATAAATATAGCAATGGTAAAATATAAAGAGCTATTAAGGCCTCTAATGATAAAAAGGTTTCCCATATGGTGTATAACTAGTACAATAGAAAGTAACTTATTTTAAGTTATTTAAAAAAAGTAAAACTTTATCTCACAATTGTCGTCAATCAAAACTCATATCAAAATCTAATTTATTAATTAATTGAATGGCACTTTAGTATGCAATAAGGTCAAATAATCAATCTTCTGTTTCTCAAATCAACATTAATCAACTTTCCGACTGCTCCAATACTTACTAGACAAACACTCTAAACTTTCAATTAATTACAAAAGTCTCATCTACTTAACCATAATAAGACCTATATGGACATACGTAGTTGAGCTTTGGAGCTTTACCAAACCATCAAATTCCTATCGTATCCAATCCTTACAATCCAAAATCGTTTATAAAATTCTTAATGCCCCATATTTTGTCACAAATAAAACTATTCATAAAGACCTTAATGTCCCATATTCCGCTGATTTAGCCCGAGCCAGATACCTATCCTTTCATGATAAACTCCAGTCCCATCCGAATCCACTTGTTTCCAGCCTTGCTTCTTCCTCGATTCCTGATATTCCTCCTAGGCATCTGAAAAGAAGAAGGCCTCCTGATCTTGTCACCTAGAATTAAATTAGGGAGTGCTACCACTGGGCTGTATCTCTTCAAGTCTGTTCATGTCATGATTTCCAATGTGTGCATTTTTATTAGTTGTATTGTTTATACAGTTGTAAATTTCATTAAATAAATAAAAACATTAATCAACTTACAACAATCAAACTTTGCTGCTCTCCTCACCCCCCTCCTGAGGTTGTTGAGAGGGGAGTAGAGAGAGTGGGAGGATGGTACCTAAGGGGAGAGGCAGTAAGGGGGTAAAGAGAGAGAGAGAAGAACAAAGCAAAGCGAGGAAATGAAATATTGAACCAAAAACAAGATAAAGGATTAAGTAGGAAGATAATTAAATTTAAAACATAAACAATATAATCTAAACCATCCAAAAAAAAAAAACTGATGAAAGTCGAAAGGTTTGAATGCAGTTTTCGTTCCTCTTATTCTTCAGTATTCTTATGATTATGTTATGTTATCATTGTCTTATTCATCTAATTGTTCATTATTTGAGTAGAATACCTACTTGTTTGCTTTTTTTTTTAGCAATATCGTTCTTCTCTCATAGATTTATATAAATGTATTCTATTTGGCAACAGGCTGGTGAGGGAGGTGATGGGAGTGAACGTGGACATGCGAGTTGGGATCCACACCGGACGGGTGCACTGCGGCGTCCTCGGCCTGCGGAAGTGGCAGTTTGATGTATGGTCCAACGACGTCACCTTGGCCAACTACATGGAGTCAGGCGGGATACCTGGGTAAGCCTCTCATGTATTTTCACACTCTAGGGGAGCCAAATTTACTAAGGGTTTATCGAATCAACGCCACAATGTTTCAGTTCGCCTCTGAATATTTATTTTTCAGTAATTATTTAAAGCGTCATAGTAATAATTTGAAATTGAACATTTGCTATTGACTCATGATTGATACTTAGAAAAAATATATTTTTTTTAAAAAATATCGATATATCTCGTCGGAAAAAAAATATCCTATTTCCTCGATATTTTTAGTAATTAAAAAAGGAGTACATGATTAAATATGAGTCAAAGTCTTGGATTTTTAATAGCTTTAATCCTAATAAAGAATTATTCATATATTTCATATTAAAAAAATAACCATTTATTTATATCAATTTAAAAAAACAAAAATCTATTTGTTGAAAATAGAAATAGAAAACTGGAAATAGAAAAATTCAATAAAATATTTTAATTTAAAAAAAAAACATAATGAAAAGAATAGAAGTAAACCAGAAAGAAAATTTATCTATATTCTTTTTTCTTCTTTTTTTTAGATTTATTGTCGATAGCGCTCTCGCTCAATCTTCAGTGGGTTTAGCCCCAGCGACACGGTTGAGAGAGTAGTTCAGGGATCTCCTGGACTAATGCTTTTCCCTCCACAGTTGGAGGGATAAGTCTGGCTCGGAGTTTCATTCTCATTATAAATAGTGTATATACGCATGCATGTGTTCTTCTTTTATTTTTTTTATTATTAGCCAGCAAGAACCACTGTTCCTCTAACTCTTCCTTAGTCCATTTTTTCCCTCGTCTCTCCCTCGCACATACAAGAACCTCAGTCCCTTTCAGTTTTTCCTGAAAAACCTCTCTATCCAAGCAATCCGTGATTTTTAGCCTGTCTAGTTCCTCTTTTATTTGTTTTATATATCTCCCTATACTTTTATAGCTGCACACTTTATCAAAAATTTTCTTGTTCAGTATTTCACTATTCATCCTGACCATGTGCCCGTAGAACCTCAGTATTCTGATCCTGACGACTATTTCCAAATCTTCCAAATTTTTGTATATTTCTTTATTGGATTTTAGCCTGTATCCCTCTTGCGTTACCTTGGGTCCGTGAATCCTCCTCAGAATCTTCCTCTCAATCTTCAGGATTTTCTCTAGGCTCGGAAGGCGGACTGTTTCCATACCATATAATATTACAGGTCTTGCTACTGTACAGTAATGCCTTATTTTTGCATTTGAGGACAAATTTTTCTTGTTGTAAACATTCCTGGTGGCGAAGTTCAGTCATTCCAGTTTGATGATTCTTCCTTCGATTGATGCTTATCCGTTCCTTTACTACATATTATCTCACGTAGGTATTTAAACTTTTTGGTCACTTTTATTTATTTATTGTATATATATTATTTTTCTGTATATATTATTTTTATTTATTGTACATAGAGTGTGAATGTGATCTCTGAACACTATTATAAATGTCCTTTGAGACAGATTGTATTATTTCTCAATAAACAAGTTCTAAATACAAATTATAGATAAAAATATTTTAGATTCATTCTATAATTCCTGAAATTCTTTATTGTATAATTTATTTGGGGGTACCCACTGTCGCCTATATTACAAATTTTACAACTGTTCATTTAATTCTACTACTCGTTGCTTAAATTGTATTTTTGTTTTCAGTTTGTATGACTTTAATTTACATTAAGGCATTGTGCAAATTTATTGAAGAATCCAAAATAGATTTTTAAAAATAAATAAATAATAATAAAGAACATCTATATCTTCATTATATTTTAATATATCAATAGGGGCAGTATAGGACTTCAGTGGGAGTCATTGGCCGACTTTGTGAAGAAAGGAACAAAAAAGGAACTTTGTATTATTTTTTATCAACATAATAACATAAAATAAACTGAACGAAACCACAGTTCTTTAAGAATCTATATTATACATTGAAACTTTTCATTCCGAAAATTCATAACCCCGTCGAAATGAGCTCCCTCAAAAATACAAAACCACGTCAAAATGTGCCCCATCAAAAATATTTATGGCTAAATTTGCACCATGTAACCTCCTTCTCGGCACCGCTAGTTTTCTATATTCTGTTTCATTTTCTATTTCATAATAATTATAAACATATCACAATATGATATAATTTAAGAAATAATTTTTTTTATCTTTAATTTTTTTATTCACACCTGTCATAACATATTGGTAATGACATCCAGTGAATGAGATGATCGATTGCAAAATATAATGTCATGAAAGGCATGAGGAAAAGGAGGCCCTATCCTATATTAGGCGAGGAGGTCCCTCAGCCAGTTCTTCTTCAGTCTCCTACAGACGTTAATTGCCATATTCCTTGAAGCCATGTCATTTATGAGTGTATAAGGATGTCCTTGTAAGTTTCATGGAATCGTTTATAATTTGTGAGTTCGTATGTGTTCGTTAACAGTATGTAAAGTTATGTTGCTAACATACCAAGGTGCTTTTGTAATTGCCCTGAATGTTTTTGATTGCAAGATTTAAAGTTTTTTTATGTGAGTCTTTTTAGCTGATCCGAATATCTGTGATGTGTAAAATAAAATAAAAATAACCTTATTTCATATTCATGTATAACCAAAATAACATTTATTGATTATTTACTGATGGAGAGATAAATAAATTATATTATAATTAATTTATTTGGACCGAGTTACTTACATTTTAATTTAAATAAAATAAATTCTTTTTTCTCTTGAAGTACAACTGCTAAATTATCTAGCTCACTCTAAAAAGAATAGGTTGGTGACTCAATCGGAAGCATGCTGTGAGTAGACAAATGAGACGAGAGAGAGAGAGAGAGATGTTACTCAGGACAAAGATGCTTTCTCAAGGCTTTGCTAAATTTGAATTTAGTGACTCCCTAATCCGAGTTAAATCTCAGTGTGTTGTAATCTGTAAAGCTGGGCCCCTTGCCCTTTCCCTAGCATTCTGTTTGTTCTTTCCGGCGACCCCATCCCTCCTGATGAACTTGTCTCATCAAATAGTTTAATTAATTAAACTCTAGAAGGAAAGTTAAGTAAGAGGGCAACGTTCCAGCTATAAAAAAAAATTATATATTGAAAGAAATTACCGTATCTCAACAACTCCTTTAATAATCTTCTTTTGAGGTTAAAGAAGAGTCCATTTTAGGACCTTTAATGGTTGAATTGTGAATAACTTTTAATTGGTAAAGTTGGCAGCAATGTCGGATGTCAGTGTTCGCGGATTTTCTTTAGCTCTGTAAAATATATACCTTTAAACGTGTTTTTAACTTTTTTTAGAACAAAATAAAATATTGGTACTACTGGCATAGATCCTTTCGTAAAAAACATCATTGTGACAGTTGTTTCATCTCAACTATCGCGTATTCCTTCATCATAATCTGAGCTCATCTTTCTACTTTGGTCTTTAAGAATAGCTGTTTAAAAAAAAATAATTAAATTCCTCATAATTTCATTAACCATCAGGGATCGGTTATATGTTATATAAGTAAAATCTTAGAAGATTCGTAATATTTATTAGTAATGAATAAAAGTCATGAACGTTTTTTTCTTATAATAATTTTCACCAACTTCCTTGATCTTCAGCGCTAAATTTAGGAATTTTATAATCCTCCTACAGTTGTTTATCAATGTCAGAAGCGAGTCTACAACATTAAAAAAAGATAAAGCTTAAGGTTTTTTTTTTTTTTAAACAAAGTAAGTTGAACATGAAAAAGATGAATCGGCTAGAAACTTTAGATGATCTTACAACACTGTATTGATCGACTACAGCACCACAGGTAAACATTAAGTAACTCGAGTTATCGAACTTAGTGAAGAACGAATCGCTTAGAAATAGGTAAAAAATGTAGAAAAATAAAAAGAAGGCGGAGTGGAAATTTTTAATTTTTTTTTAATTTTGTTTATTGAATATATTACAGTCTGTCCCAAAGGATATTTATAATAGTGTTCAGAGATCACATTATTATTATGTACAATAATAATATATATCTATATATATATATATATATATATATATATATATATATATATATACAATAAATAATTATAAAATAACCTAAAAATAAATTAATAAAAAAAAACACATACATACCTATATACACTATTTACAATCAGGCAAGAGAACTCCGTGCCTGACTTGTCCCTAAGTGGAGGGAAAAGCATGTTAGGAGTGAAAATTAAATTAAATAATAAATGAAAATTTGCTATAAGTATTGAATATATTTCTTACTGTGATCTTTAGCTCTATAGTTACATATAATGTAATTTTGAGTATTAATTTTCAATTGTATTATACTACTCTTTTATGGCGAATATCGGCAAATCTATGTTTAACAGATCATAGCTTTTACCAGTTTATCATGTTATGTTTACCAGATCATCTTAACGATACAAAAAACTAACATTTAATAATTAACTAATTAATGTTCCTCTGGATTAAACCATGTCTGAGTAAGAATGAAGATAATAGACCAATAATAATACAATTGTTATAGCAAAATATTGAAGATATTTTTTTTTCTAAATAAATTATAGGGATATAGACGGATTTATTGGCACACTAAATTAATACCGTAACAATTTCAAATTTTATTTCGAAAAATTCAGAAAGCATTATGTTCAATGTTGTCGATAGTGGTCAACCTTTATATTCGAAGTTTTGCAAATTTTATAACTCATTGTAATAAAGTATATTACTCAACGTTTATTCAAATAATATGGCCAAAAAAAATAATTATAATCTTATCTTCCAAGCCACACGTTTCTTAGTTACATTGCTAGCAAAAGGTCGTATGTAACAATTTATATTTTTATTCTATTTTCGCTAAAGGTGACATTTTGTAGTCTATAAATCATCATCATCATCATATGTGGCACGACATCCCGTTACCGAGACTGGGCCTCCTCCAAGAGCCTCCGCCAGTTGACTCTGTCTTCTGCTGCAGCTCTCCAGTTCCGTACACCAAGCAGGGTTCTCGCATCATAGGCCACGTTGTCCAACCATCTCATCCTCGGCCTTCCTACCCGTCTTACGAGATGCAGCTCCTCCATCATTATTTTCTTGGGTATTTCAATGGTGCTCATTCTGGCCACATGCCCTGCCCACCTTAGTCTGGCCTGTTTAATATACGTGACTACGTCGATGTCTGTATAGAGAGAACTGAGCTCCCTATTTTTTCTTTTCCTCCAGACATCACCCTCCTTTACTGGACCATAAATCCTTCTGAAGACTCCTCGCTCAAACACACTCAGCTTCATCTCATCGTTTTTAGTCATCGTCCAAGCCTCTGAGCCATATGTTAAAACAGGCCGAACAAGGGTCTTGTATATGATCAGCTTGGTCTTCTTTGAGAGGTACCTACTTCTTAAGTGTCGGCCAAGTCCAAAGACACATCTATTGGCAGCCGTGATCCTTCTTTGTATTTCTTGAGCCATGTCATTTTTGCTATTAATTTCAGACTCAAGGTATATAAAACTTTTCACCCTTTCAAACTTAAAAGAACCTACCTCAAATGGAGAGTTCAGATTCACCTCACCACCAACTCTCATATACTTAGTTTTCCTCTCGTTGACTTCTAGACCAAGTGGTCTTGCAGCTGCTTCAAGGCCTATAAACGCTTCTCTGAGAGCCCGTTCAGACCTACCTATTATGTCAATATCATCAGCAAAACCAAGAAGCTGTGTCAGGCGATTGAAGATTATATCGTTAGTCTGAATACCGGAGTCTCTTACAGCTTTCTCCTCTGCCAAGTTGAACAATAGACAGGCGAGGGGATCCCCTTGCCTAACCCCACTGCTCACTTTAAACTCTTCGGAGTCGTCAGAACCGACGCGTATTCTACATCTCGAGCTGTCCATGGTCATCTTGATTAGGCGTACGAGCTTCTGAGGGATGCTTAGCTCCTCTAAGGCACAGTATAGTTGCGTTCTATCAACGCTATCGTATGCTGCTTTAAAGTCTAGGAATAAATGGTGGGTGACTACCTTACGCTCCATAGTCTTTTCTAGGATCATCCTCAGAGAGAACAGTTGATCAGTCGTTGAGCGTCCTCTTCGAAATCCAGCCTGATATTTCCCCAGTTCCTTTTCAGAATACGGGAGAATCCTCTCAAAAAGAATGTTAGAGAGCAGCTTATAAGCACACTAAAGGAGTGAGATTCCTCGATAGTTAGCGCATTCTGTTTGATCTCCTTTCTTATGTATTGGGCAGATAATGGCTGTTGCCCATTCCGTAGGCATAGCTTCCCTCTCCCAGATGGTCAGCATTAAATCATGCAGAGCTTTCTTGAGTTCTTCACCTCCACTAGTCTATAAATAACAGCTATAAATAGTCTGCTAAATAGGAAAATAGAAATAAAATATGAAATTATACTAATAAATCATAAAGAAATATGGTCAACGCACCAATTATGGACAGGGGCCCAATGATGGGCAGGTTGGACTTGAAATGTAAATAATAAGCTTTCTTGTTGATTTAAAGGTTCCAGTTTTTTTTCTAGATTGAAGAGCAATGCCTTATATTGAAATCTGTATGAATAAAGTTCCCTAAAAAAAAATTAAAATGCCTATCATTGTACTTTCTTTAGTGCTCTTGAGATCAGTATGTTTCATATCTTCCTACTAACAGTTTTGTTAAGAGTAAGTTGAGCATCTATCTCATCTTATCTTCATCGTTAAACATATATTTTAGAATGTTTCTGTGGTATGAATTTCGGGATTTCCATCAATAGTACAAAAAGATGTTTTTTTTTTCTAAATGGAGATTATACCTGCATAACTGAACATGTTTTCAGTTTTAAAGTTTCAAATAAAAAATGAAGTCTCTAGATATTCTAAAAATGAAACGAAGAAGTTTACAACTATAATGATTACGGCGGCATTAGCCAAAAAAGACAAAGATTTCCTTAGCTATGTCCTTCGATGGTGTCCTTATCCTAATCGGTTTTGACTGCTCTTCTGTAAACAAAAAAAATTAATTTCGATATACAACCTTTTGCACTAACATAGTTTCATATAGTTCATATAGTTGCACTAACATAGTAGTAGCATATGTAATTATAAGTTATGTATTTTCAGTAATTATACATAAAAAATGCAAACCCGTAACTGCTGAGAGATCCTTCATCACATTGTCCGATATGAATTACATCACTCATAAAATAACAATTATAATTTATTACAGGTGTTATTAGTTATTAAATAAGTAACCGGTGATTTTATATTGTGAAACGGTTAATTTTTAAATTACGCTTTTCTAGAAGTCTAGTTAGATCGTAAATGAGTACTAAACGCCGCGTTATAACCAGACCTGGAGTTATGTCATTAATTGATGGCGGTACATAATGGCTTAGGCGTTAAAAGCAATCGCATTGTTTAATTACAAGGCTGTTTACTGCAATTTTACGGGGGTTCGATATCTTTCGCTCATTCCGTGGAATAGAAGGATATTATTTCACATGTTCAAGTCTCTCAAATGCAATTATGGTTTTATTGTCTTAAAAGCAATATTACTAGAGGTTTATTTTTTTTTGAAAGGGATATTTTGTTTGGTTAGTAAAATTTTCTCTCATTTTTTCATTAAAAGCCCATTAACCACCCCTATGGCTCCAACTACTCTCGCATTCGTAGAACCCACCCATAAATTTATTTTACTGGCGTCTCTTTTTGTTAGTAAATTTTAGGTTTATTATTTTCAATAATGAACCATTGTGATCGAACAAAACATTTAAAACCTCAACCTCCTCTCAAAATTTGAGGTTTTACGTTTCAGGATACGTGGAATTCCAAAAACGAATAAAAATATTTTGTCCGTCCTTTTTTTGGGGGGGGGACAAGACTGAGAAGACAATAAAAAAATTAATTAAAATTGATATTTTCTTCTACTGTCCTAATCAATAATTGACAGTTACTCAAAAGTAATAAAAAAAATTCAATATTACAGAATACAGGCATACATTACGTTTTTGAAGTGAAAACTTCCTTAGACGCGTTTTGCACTTTTATTTGTGGAGAGTGAATTAGATTTATCCGTCAGATCTACGATGTGTAACGCTCGGGTAAAGTCGGCTGGAGTCGATTAAGAAGTGTTTTTGCATATGAATTAAATAGTTCAAAAAACTAAAAATCGGACCTGCATATTGTTAGCGAAGGAAATATTCATCAATTTATCATTTTTGTAATGAGCTCTTATTGAAAATTGTCTCTTAACGCGATGCCGTGTTAGAGAGTAGAAAGGGGAAAAAACAGTGTCGAAAACTAAATGCTGACAAATTTTATTTGAGATATGGATGAAAATATCTTAGAAACTAAAAATCTAACCTGGATACTGTAATCGAGGCAAATCTTCAGTATTTCATTCTCTTTGTGAAGGGGAATTATTTATAACTTATGTTTCATGTTATTATGAAAATAAAGTATTGTGTAGAATATTCGGACCGAAGAAGGATGAGCTAATCGGAGAGTTCAGGCGGTTAGACTACGCCGAATTGTGTGAACTGTACTCGGTTAATATAGTTGAGGTGATTTCATCTCGGCGAAGCAAATGGGCTTGCAAAATTGTTGAGCTTGGTAACGAAAGAATTCCTAAAAGGTTAATATTTGCTGTACGAAATGGTAAACGTCCGAGGGATAGACCGGAGGTGGGAAAATTGCATTAAAGTCGATCTGAAGGGTGTGGGTTTGGACGGTGGAGAGAGGTGTGTAATATGCGATTGGTGGTGTCGGCATCGAACCTTCGGTTTCGCTAAGCCTTTTATCATTATTATTATTATTATTATTTCATATTATTAATCTCGGGTTGCTATTTTCACTTCTATCGCGTGGTCTAAAGCTGACATCTTAGTTTTTTTATAAATATTTTTTAAAATTCAATTAATAGAAAAGAAATAAATTTTATTACATGCCCAGACTGCACAGAAAACTTATGGGATGGTCCGGATCGACATAAGATATTCAGGTATATCCATGCCACCCTCAAAACATTTAAAAATCCTTAAATCTCTGTAGTTTTTTTTTTTTTTATGAAAGGGAAGGAAATTGCCAAGAACAATATTATTTTATTTCAATAAATAATTATTTGACACCCGTTGGTTAAATGGTTCGAGAAAGATACAAATGTTCCTTTAATATAATTGCCTTCAACTTGTTACAGAAGGGTGCACATCACAGAAGAGACCCTTAAATGCCTGGGCGGTGACTACAAAGTGGAACCGGGCAAAGGAGGCGAACGGCACCACTACCTCAGGGATCACAACATCCAGACCTACCTCATCGTCCCGTGGGAGAACTACAGGCCGGTAAGGGTCTCTTGTAGTATACACTCACAAATTATAACTATAGACAATATTGGATTGATGGTTGACTGTAGTGAATGATTGAAGAGAAGTTGGTTGGAGTGAACAGTCGAAAATACAATGTGAAAAAAAAAATTATTTTTGTCAACGTTTCGGCGCATCACAGCTGGTCTCACTAAAGTTTCCAGTAAGATCAATAAACATTTAAGGGTACTTGTCGGTTAGCCGGACAGGACCGACTGCTGTCTGCCAATGTTTATAACCTGAACTCTGATAATTCTGATAAGGCTTCTCATAATTCCTATCTTCATATTCATATTTATTGTATTATATTCATATTATTTAAATCGTAAAAAAACAAAAACAAATGTAATAATTAAAAAAAAACTTTTATTTTACAACATATGTATCAAATAGACGAAAATAAATGTAATAATAACAAAACAGTTTGGTTTGAAATAAAAAAAATTATTTCACAACGGTTTTATTATTTCCAAACAATTATACATCTAAAGTAACATTACCTTCCGAGTTACTAAGAAACATAAACAAAAGGTGATTCCAATTATTGGACTAAACTTTTTTTTTAGTCATTAGTAATATGCTAAAAAAAATAGCATTAGTTCAGTAACACATTCAAAATTTAAAAACCAAACCAAGGATATAACATTTAGAGTAGAACATATTAAAAAAACGGAGACCATATCTTTGCTCCTAATTGTCAGATTTTAACGATTTTTTTTTTTTTTTAGGAAATTTCGTAAACTTTAAAAAAACTATGAATGATTTCGTTGAAAGAAAATTTAAATACCTTTGAAACATCTTATCACAATATCAAAAAAAAAGTATAAACTTTTCGAGTTATTCGGAATTTAATTTTACTATCCCTCGTAACTTTTTTTCCAGCTTCTTTTCGTTGAAGTATGTTATATAGATAAATTTAAAGGGCGTCGAGAAAATGACTTTAGCGAAGTTTCATTGAAATCTGTACATTCGTTTAGGAGCTACAGCCTATAGCAACGCAGGTTTTCCGGCCGCCATTTTGAAAGTGAAAGGCGGATAGTAATGTCGATGAAGGAGGATCATCTTCGGGTGATCTCTAATTTTATATCAAAATTTGAAAAAAAAAAATCCGTCCAATAGTTTCGGAGAAAATGCGCGGTTCGCGGACGGCGGACGGACAAAAAAAATTTTATTCGTTTTTCGAATTCTACGTGTCCTGAAACGTGAAACGTCAAATTTTGAGAGGAGGTTAAGTTTTTGAATTTTTTGGTCGATCACAATGGTTGATTATTGAAAATAATAAACCAATAGACAAAGAGAGTGTAATAATTCCCACAACAATGAGAAAACACTTTAATTTTATAACACATATATGAAATAGACAAAAATAAATGTAATAATAATATTTTTTTTTTTAGAGAAAAGACTCTCGTCTTCTTCAACGACTTTGCCAGGCATTCCAATTTTTTTACTTGACCTGTATAACATGTTATGTGCATAAACCTCTCTTAAACATTTGTTCCACCTTACCATAGTTTCCTTGGATAGTTCTTTAGTAGTATATCTTTGCCCCACTTTATCGTTGTTTAATTATGGGACCACCCATAAATAAATTTTCAAGCCGTTAAAAACGAAATCCTCGACCCATCTAACCACGTTCCTTTCCTTATATATTCACGTTCCTTTTTGTTACAAGTGGTACGAAATCATCTCCATTTCGCCTTCCTGTCTAACTTCATTTGATGACCTTCTTCACACAATTTCACGTTTGGAATTATCCCAGCGTTTTGAAAATATTCAATAGCCTCTTCTTCTGAAGACGGTAATTCCCAGAATGTAATAACATCCATAATTTGACGAAAATAACACAAATGGAACAAAAATAAACAATGGAATAACTCAAAGCTTTCAAGAGATAACAAGGGAGGTTATGTGATGTAACATTAGATAACAAGGGAGGTTTCGTCCAGGCCTCTTATCCGACAAGTACCCATTTAAGATCAACAAATCCGTATAATAATAAACGTTACGAAACAACGAAGATAAACAGAGCTATATCCCATCCACTTATTTAATTAATTCCTACAGATACATACATCTCTAAAGAGCTTAAATGTGCAATCAATGTTAAACAATAGAGGAAGGAGGTAGTACCGTACGGGGTGAGCATACATTTTAAAGAAAACAAACTAGAAATCAATAATAGAAATTTTATAAGCTCTGAAATAATTGCATACACAAATTTTTATTGTAGAATGACAAGCATCAATAAATGTACAAACAAGGAGACGAGGAATATGGTTATTTTTGGTATTTGGTGTACTACAAATAGTTGTTCAATGAAATTATAATATAGAAATACATTTTAGTAGATAACATTTTTTTTGGTAAGTTATCGCTTTTTATATGACAAGACCATGAGCGATCATTGTTGTAAATTATTTTTGTTAATTGTTATTTGTAGATGACTTGATAATGAGCTAATCAGCTCGAAACGTCGTTGGAAGTAGAATTTAAAAAAATGAAATTATAAGGGCTTATATATTCCTTGAAGGCACCATATTAGAACATCGAGTTCCCTTCAAAAGTACTAGTGTAGTAGTTAAATAAACGAAGAGAAAGCTACTTAATAGCACTATCATAAAATGTCATGCACAGGACATAATAACGTCTATAGCACTTTAAATATAAACGAATATCTATTCAAAAAAATTTTTAACCTTAGTTTTCATTAAATTCACGTTTCTTAATATTGAAATTCCCACAATTTCTGAATTAATAGCTTCTCTTCAAACTTAAGACGATACACCCACCTAATATCATATTCTTCAATCCTTCAAGATCATTAGACCACTCTTGACACAGAAGTTCCTCAGGAGTAATTATTACATAAATATTTTATAAAGCAAACAAAAATTATAAATTATAACCTAATTCGAACTCAGTGCCCCATATTTAAAATAATAGTACTTCATCCATTAAATCATTCTGTTCTGGTAATCATAAGATGTATAAAATAAATGGTCATTTTTCAACCAAATAATTGTATTATTATTTCTTTGATATAAAATACAATTGATACTCAAAGTATAGTCCATTGTTATCTACCGTCATTAGCCATCTTTTAGCCAATTTCTCGATCCTACACTGATACCATTCTTTGGAATGGCTGTTAAAGAACTCTTGGACCGCAATTTCAACTTCCGAAAAATTATTTTTCTCTTACAGAAAATGACTTTGGATCTAAATAAATAGTAATCCGAAGGTGCGAGGTCTGGACTATATGGTGGATGAGACAGGAGTTTGAACCCATGAATTCCTTTAAACTTTTCTTCGGTTCGACGGGAAGTGTGACGAGCATTATCTTGGAATAAAATTCCTTTTCGGTTGATCAAAGCAGGATGATGCTCTGACAACTTCGCGTACAATCTTTCCAGTTGTTTGCAGTGGAGTTCAGAATTCATAGAGCATTCATCAGGAACCAATTCTTAATGAATAAAACCTTCAAAATTCCAAAAACTGCTATTTTTCAAATTTCCCCCTTACAACCGGAAAAGCAGTTATACCGCGATCTAGCCATTGCTCACGGGTATTCGAATTTCACCATAAACCCACTTTTCATCACAGGTGACAATCTTCCAGTAAAATTTCATACCAGAAGAGTTTTCAATAAATTTTCACAAATTTCTAACCTCTTAGCTGATTGCTGAGGAGAAAGTTCGTGAGGAACCAGCCTACTTCTCTTTTTCACCTTCCCCATGGTGAGTAGATGGCAACTAACAGTATCTTTCGACACAACGCACTCCCTGCCAAGTTCGCGAGTACTTGTGGACGTATTTGACTCAACAGCTTCCTGCAGAACCTCATCAATATCCATTAATGGTCATCATCTTCTTTCCAACGTCATATCTCGACTGCTAATTTTTTCAAGCCAACGCCGCGCAGTGCTCTGGTCAAGGACACCATCCCCTTCATATTTAGTAATAGAGTTGCTTCAGCGGCTGTAATTTTTTTTTCCCAGTAATGCCTTAAAATTAAGATAGTTTCGTGAGACACTGTCATGTTTCTTTTTTGAAACTGAGGCTTTTTTTGAAGAAGTCGAATGAGATTAAACAAGCTTAGAAAATGCTCTAAAGGGATTATTAAGTATTAAATAGAATCTTGAATTTAATAAAACGGTAATTTTTTTTAATACACTCTATTAATAAATACAATCAACCATAATAATAATAATGCATTAGCAAAATAGTACGAATTGCCAAAATTATGACGCAGTAATTACTGGTTCGAGTCTGGTAGGTGAAGACAATATTATCCTCGAAATAATTCTCCATCATCACACAACAATTGTTACAGGATAATAAACAAAGATAAGAAGATAACAAACCCTTCCTCACAACTACACTTTCTAATAAAACTCCCAAGTTGCTGAGATAACGAACAGATAAGAACTTAGTTCTTGAAGGAGCAATGATTTTTCATTGCCTCTATAAAAAACAGACGATATCTCCCTCGGAGTTTAATAGACATTCAGTAATGGTGATGATATTGCAGAAATATCGTCTGGAATTGCTGCGGTTAGAGACAATAAACTAAGGGAGAGTTGGTAAGAGAGAGCTTTGTTCATTGGATTTGCTTTAGTCCCGAGTCATTGAGCACAAGTCCGATAGAATTGGATTCGGAAATTTTATCCCCGGTTCGGAGGAGTCGCTAAAGTTGTGGGATATAAATAAATTTATCCTTGATCTAGGATACTACGGCTACAGTTTGCGGCAAAGTTTGAGATTTCCCTGAGGAACTTGCCGAGGGGCATTATATCATAAAATATTAAAACATATCTCCCCTAACTGGATTAATTTAGAAGCTGGGGTATTATTAGCTTACAAGGAATACGTAATGATTTTGGCTTTGTATCAATTTGAATTAATCTTCGAGGTGGGCCACTTTTCATGAGAACACATCCTAGAAGCATCCTAAAAGGATTTCAAGCATCAACTTTAGAGA